ATTAGTGGGTAATCACACTATACCAACAATAAAAAATACATTATTATTAACTGACGAGAGAAAAAATGATTTAAATATGTAAAGTACCATTCTGACAATATATGTTTACAGCTTTTTACATATTAATAATTGTTTTAACAATATCGTATTCCTAAAAATTCATATATTATGTCCGTACATGACAAGGGAAATAAACACAACCAACTGAAAATCAGTATCTATAAGATTACAGACCCTGTTTTAAATATGTGAATCCCTCGTCTTGTAGTTCCAACATTATTCTGGTAGCTTTTCAATTAAATTAGTCTTACTGCCAATAATTTTCTAACATCGGCCAATATCGTAAATAAACCGGTAATTTCATGAACATTACTTTTAACAATTTTCGGTATTCAATAATTTTACAAAAAATTAAAGTCACGGAAATAACCGATGTTGCTACGATATTGGCCGATGTTTGCCGAAAAGCATTACAGTAGACTACCTTAAGGCTGCAGCATATACATGAGCATGTCAATCTATACTTTCAAGAATCCTTTAATCCGTTTCACGAATTCGGCACATTAATTATTAAAAGACAATAACATGCAAATTCGTTGAATTGATATTCACGACGTATGATGTATGATATAAGTCACTAACTTAGTAATCGGAGGTACATTATAGGAGATACAAAACGCATAATATTGTTAAGTGTCATGCAGAATAGGTGTTTCGGTTACTTATATCATTTTCAGACATTCTTATATTGACATTTATAATATTATTATTTTCAATGTGTATGAAGGTACTATAATTTCCAACATTACAATCACATATAGTATGTGCAATATTATGGTATTATAATGTTTTAAAGTTGTTTTTTTTGTTTTTTTTTTTTGTTTTTTTGCTGTTTTTGTTTTATTGTTTGAGCGAAATTTTTAATTTCTCACTTAAATTTTTCTTAATTTCTTTTCAGAGCTAATTTCTTTTTCAGAGCACAACAATCATGAAGTGTCGCGTGAAGGCTTAAATCAACAGCATTACTTTAAATATAAATGAATAAATACAATGTTCTACACAAACTAATATTTTGACAGACCGTAAGAAATGGACTGTGGCAGTGACATGTGCATGGAAAGCAAAACCGACCGTCAAATGTTTAACGCCTGGGTTGCATGAACAGCTTTTTTGTTACCAAGGCATTTTTTTAGTTGACGACTATGAAAATCTGGAAAAGGTAAGATCCCTCTAAAGCAATAAAAAAACACTATTAACAGAAGATTGGGGACTCGGTTTGACTGGGTTTCCTCATGGGAAATAATGTGGAAGTGTAACGTATTACATGCCCCTAAACCAGTAAACGAATCATTCACCAGCCATCGGGGTCTCCTTGTCTACCAAATTTATGAAAGTAAATTTGTTCCATCATTTCGTATTCGAATGTATCTTATGTATAAATTATATTTTTTCCATGTCAACGTATTACTTGCAAATTGTTAGTCTTTGAAAACATCATAAAAAGATGCACAACCAATTGATGTTTTGTTTTCCTTTTCTCCTGCATAATTTATACAAGTAAATAGATCTATTTGGTTTTATCAAAATTACAAACAAATATAATTTCATCTAACAGTTTTACACATGTATATGACATATTTCCTTATAATGATCAATGATGCAACTCAGAAAGTGTTCCCGGTGATTGTATAATCTCTGTTTGCATCGCATTGCTTAAAACAGTGTAACAATATAATGATACATAAATAAAATTTATTGAAACTATACACATTTACAGTTTGCACATATATACGACTGATTTTGAAAATCAGATGTTAAATTATTTGAATGTACTTCACCATCATTATAAATTTGTTCAAGTTACACGCAATCGACTATAATCAAAATGTTCTACATTTGCCAGTAAATATATTCAAATTTACACTGTTGTTTGTTTGTTCGGTTGGTTGTATAATTTGCACTCGTTCAAACTTATCCGTTAATCAATTTTGTCCATCCCTGAGCTTGCCCAGTCCAGCATCTACAGTTGCCAGCACCAATCACACCACAAAAACCACTTTTTATACGTGCACAGCGCCCTCCCTTTCCCGGTATTATATTTGTGTCTTTACACCGTCCTCTGTCTACCTTACAGAATTGTCCTCTTACTGCAGTGAATGTTATGAAAACGAGGACAACATAAATCAAGGCGAACCGGTATTTTGAATCCATATTGAGTAAGTGTTGGCCGTTCCTTTTTATTTCGTTTCAACAGGCTGCAAATAAAATTGGTTGCCGATGATGTGATAGGAATTCATACATATCATTGAAATCAATGTATCACCCAATATATAAAACTTTTTTCATTTCGACAAAAAACACACGCATAAGATATATAAAATATTGCTAAATGAAAACTTGGTATTTTATTTATAATATTATAATCCCCATAGAACATGTCAAACGTTATTTAGGAAACAAAAATTAATGAAAAGTTGTTATAGATATATTACAATTTAAATAAAACAAAATGCTCATGCAATAAAAATGATTGAACATAAAAAAAACTTAACATTAACATGGTGAAACTACTATTTAAAATACCCTTTTTATAAAAGAAACAGTTACAATTTTAAGAAAAGTGTACTTACATAAACACAGACTTCCACAAGAGGTGTTGATATGATTTATTTCAAGTAATATATACTTAAATCTAAATAAATAACCATCAAGTTCCTGCATAACATATTACCAACATAACGATTAGAAACAATTATTATAATAAGTTATTAGCCTAACATAACAGCATTGTAATTTTAGGCGTTAATAAGAGGGATGTAAATGGTTATATATTATTAGTTATTTATGTTGCTGACGAGGTAAACGGGAGAACATAGACTGAATGAGATAATTATGACCCGCGGCGCTAAGCCGAGAGTTACATGTATATTAATACATGTTACATTCTTCGTGTCTTTTTTACTTTATTCTGATATACGTATTACTAAAAATATTTTTGTGTTCTTTCCTCATAGCGCTGTACCGTTAACTATTCCTTTGAAGTAATGTAATTAAAATCCAGAAATATGCCATCACGAAAGGAACCAAATGGAAAATTAAATGCACACACACATAGGTGGCTGTCTATGATGTAGAAACACATTGCTGCGTGTTTCGGTTCTTCGAGGTTTATACGGCATCGTATACAAAATGTTTAAGCCAATCAAAATTCGCGGAAATTATTTGAATTATCATTAAACTATAAATAAATTATAAAAATAATAGCCTAAAACCTGCAGTGTCTTTCACTTAATTGCATTAACACAGAATAAGCAAACACAATAGAATAGCAATTATGTTGACAGTACAATCAATATACAGTTATGACGTCACAAACATACGTCATTACCAGATGACTAAGTCATCTAAGAAAAAAAATGTATATCAAGTTGGCTTGTTATGGCCGCCCATGTCTAGGGATGGTGCTCCAATGAGGCTCTGACCAAGACCTAAGTATCCGGAAGGGTGAGCTTTAATACTCTCCGACCAAGAAACTCTCAGTGGGAGCAAAGATCAACAACCGAATAATCAGCCTTAAAATCGGATCCTGTATGATGACTTTAACTGGTGCCCAATTACAAAACTAGGTCTTACCAGAACACAAAGGGCGAGACCTAGTTACCCGAACCTAGGCCGAGTCTACTATAACTTATCACGGCCATCAACATAACACAGTATACCAACATTCTTCCACAGGGACTAACCAAAGCAACATTATATCTGAAAGATGTGAACATTTAGAGGGCTGTCACAAACCAAAACATAGCCGACTATTTACAAAATTTAGTTTCCCAAACCATTAAAGATGAGGTTTGGCAATGAAAACTACGTCTGTTCGAAGCCAGCTCGGTCGACTTAGAATATTAGAATCACTTTAAATTCAGATAATAACCACACATAACCGAGTCTCACAATGATACTTTTGTATATAAACATTCAAATATATGTAACACCATTGATTTATTACACAATTATCCGACGTAGTAAACTTTACGCCATTGTCACACCATTGTCATAACACACTGTTCCATTATTTGCACAAGATGATTCAGTATATAATATCCATTTGTTCACAATCACCATTCTTGCACGTTAACACTTCAACTTGAGAATCACATGGTGCATGGTCTTAAACTGGTTAGTCAAATGCATTGGGAGACTCTTTATGTTTTCTTCAGTATTCCTGCAAAATGTACTAAATAAAATAAGTCTGGCACTGTGACACAAAAAACATATGACACAAACAACAGTTTACTGTACAATACACCAGTAGAAACAAGATATATTCATTGTTAAGTGAATAACTAATTTAAATGCTATAACATCAAGGCATGAAACATGAACGATGAAAGAAAAACTTGCTACAGGGGTGTGGCGGAGGATGGGCATTTTAAGTACTACTGACTGTTAGTCACGACGGTAATTCGACAATACTGAAGAAGTGTGCACGATATCTCGTATTTAAATTCGGATTTATTCTGAGTGTGTTACGCTTTAGTTGGCAACAATACATGTACAATTTCCTCTTACGGTATTTCTAACGATTTCTCAGTATAAATAAAGAAACAAAATGAAGAAAAAATAATTTGTATTATGGCAAATAGTACATTTCTTTCTTTTTTATGGATCAAAAATATTCTAGACTGAATTCCATCATTATGGATAAACCAAAAATGTTCATTTAATATATGACTATTTCTAGAAAATTTCACATGATTACAAATTACCGAAATGATAATTACCTTATGAATAGTAATTTCCTGAAATGAGAAATCTGGAATTCGCTCCGAAATCGGTTGACATTTTGAAAATATATAGATATTAAGAGTTATTACATGAACGTTCAATTACTTAAATTACATAATTCATTGCAATAAATATACTCGTAATTGAAATAATGTGTGCCATATTTTATATCAGTATCAAGCAGAATAAATATTTTCTATTGGTAAAATGTGTCATTGATATTAAATACCATTGACAAAAGAAATAACACTTAAAAGATAACAAGTTACTGACACACTTAAGACTTACATAGATTAAGACTGCATCAGTATGTCCTTGCGCATCGTGAATCTTATTTGCACGTGAAATGTAAATTGATGTTGAGAACGTATTTGAAATGTATTTTAAAATTCGTTTTCAACATTAATTTACAATACTATTTAAAAGATTTAACTTCAAGAAGAATGGTCTAACAGTAAAAAATGATTTTTATCATATCGCAGACAAATTTATTGATTCAATTGATTGTGTGTTATATGACTGGATTTCAAATAATAAACATGATGAAAATTGAATACTGTTAAAACTGGTTCGAGAAGCTTGAGATGTTGCGTTGTTCTTTATCTCTATTGTATCATAGTTAGGTTAAATCGTTTACATATACATGCACAGTGCGTTAACTGGAGTGCGGATATTAGTTACCCGCATTCCAGAGCATGCCCATTGATTGGCTCATTTTTGCTGGGGTTTACATATTGTGACGGCAGTGAAAGTGAAATCGACAGAAATGTCATATTTAGATGCTCGTTCATTGGTTCATTTTTGCCGGGGTTTCATATTGTAACAACAGGGAACGTGTTTTTATGTTTGACTATGATACAAAAGAGAAAGAACACCAAAACACTCGGTAATCTGATTAATACTCGGGTGTCTACGCCCCCTCGTACAAATCAGATAACCTCGTGTTTCGGTGCTCTTTCTATTACATAGATAGTCTAGGTTAAAGAATAACCTCATAGCCGATGATCATTTAATGTCAATATTTTGGAATCCCTTTTTACCAAAGAACTCCATACAAGAGTGGAGAAAATCATTATAATCAGACATGTGAAACATTATATTGTGCGCGAAAATAAGCTTGAGTAGTATTTGAATTGCGACAAGCTGATCAGTTTTCTTGATCATAAGAGGATGTGTTTTTAAACTTTACAGTTAAGTATCGGAGGTACAGCTCCGAATATCGCATGTTACAGTGATAACACCTTAGTCCTTAGAAAGTCACGAGTCAGAGACCATAGCCGAGATATCTTTGCATTTTAAAGAAAACGTCTTTACTTATGACTTCTATGTTATGAATGACAATATAGATGAGCAATAAAGACATTGCTACTAAAAGGGTATCTCATTGTATTTAACTTTTCTCATTAAAATGAATTTAATAATAGTCAACAGTCTTTGAAAGAAGGTAAAAACATTTTATTGAAACGGTTAGTCCTAATAATAATTAATAGAACGCCTTCAGTATGGATATGTAAGTTTATCTTAAATAAGGGAGGTATTCATGTTGCATGTTGAACGCTTAAAAGCGTGGTATTATTTTGTCCACCAAACAAAATGGTGCGTAAACCTATACAATTTTGCTTCAATAACTGAAAATATATAAACTTATTAGCATGTGTGCTTTTCATACATTTGGAAGAGGTAGTTTTTTTTTCAAATAAGTTCAGCAACCTCCACTTGACAAGGAACACCGATATCATCAATATATTCACTACATAGGCGTATACGTGTCGGTCAATGACTGTTATAAGATATAATTCAAGACCTTGCGTTGTTAAGTTATAACAACTATATTAATGCGTAACGCTTTTGGATGTCGTTTATTATATGATGTATAAAATATTTCAATTAATGTAACAGGATATCCTGACAAGGATAAAAGTTTGGGTATATCAAAATGTAATAATCATCACTAAATATCAATACACGACGTGACAAAAATAGCGTTACCTTTTGAAATAAGCAATCACATGAAACGCATCAGATTTCGAAATGAATGTGTCCTCAATAAACTCAATAATGTTAACAATTTTTGCCACAAGCAAATGTGTATTTTATAATTTATTTGCAATGCACAAGTGCCACAATGGCGACAAAAATTAGCAGTATACAAACATAAATATATACAAATACATAATGGAAAACAGCTATATTTCATTCCAATGATGATAGTTACATAAAGGTACAATCAGGTGAGATAAAAATATATTAAGCTAACATATTTTGCATGATTAATCTAATCGAATGTTTACGCCTTCCTAAGTAACCTGAACAAAATGAAATAAAAGCACGCCAGTTTACTGATTTTCTAGATAACATGAAATTAAGTTGTCAAAATTTGAAAAGACATGCTCAAGTATATAATGTCTATAGTACTTTTATGAGCTTATATTTATCTATGAAATATGTATGCTTATGATATCCACTTTCCCCATATGAAACTTAAAATATGATACCCGTTAAATATTGATATTTATATATTTTGTGCACATTTAATTACAAAATGTCACCGTGTAATATGTGCGTCTTTTAATAAAGATTATTTCCTGTTCTGTTCAGCATATCAAATCAAAACACAGAAGGCGCTGAATTTGTTTGGGTCTCAGAATGTCAGAAAGGTGAAGGTTGTAGGATTATAAACCAATTTGTTTGTTTAGTGTCACCAATGCTGTTTCCAGTGTTATAACTATAAAAAATTGGCTATTAGACTAATTGCAACACTGATATTTAATTCAATGTTTATTTATGCCTGAAGACTACCATATTATTCTAAATTAGAGTTTGTAACTTATTAAATTCGATATATTTTGTTCACAGTAAACATGTTGTTTAAGACTGAAATAAATAATCATGGAGCTGAATATAAGCATGTATATCTATAAGAACAAGTATAACAAGAATTTGTAACAGAGTTACCAACGTCCCCCGCCTCGGGGAAGTTTTATATGAAGCATAAAATTGTGCTATTTCAAAAGATTGAGGTATGGATCTCAGGACTTTCAGTCAAAAATTATGATCAATGCTAGATCTGCAAATGCAAAAATAAATTTATTAAAGAAATAAAATGATACACAGAATTTATTATATTGTAAGGACCTACCCCACTAGGGTAGTTACCAAATCCTTATTAATCAGGATACCGGCCACTGTATTAACTAGTAAGTGTATGGCAATACTTCTACCCCATATTACATACACTTACAAGTAGCTGTTGTTTTAAACATCAGACATAGCTTCAACACATCTTAGCCATCTTTGTAGTATACCAATACATCATAAGAGGTAGGCTCAGATCATAATAAAGACATCATAGTTTCATCAAGGGGTTCTTTGTAAGTATCTGGTCATCTTGTCAGGATATTTATATAACCAGGATTTATACAACCTATTACTTAGGATAGAGTGTACAAATATAGGTAAGTCCTGCATTGGTAACACAGGAAACTGGTACAAGACATCAGTAACTCGATTAACATGTAAACGTCATTTAATAAGGTGACATCATATATAACAAGTGCATCTCAATAAATATGTATATGATACTAGGATCTACTCTGTGACGTATATCGATATAAATGAATTAATATCGGCATTAACAATTCTTCTTCGATGGATGAAATACCGGCATTGACAATACTCGACAATAGAGGACCTAGGCTTATGCAATGGGACCTTCTTCGGTTATGAACATTTAGTTACAAATAAATGTAAAGTATGACAGGATGTTGGAAATTTCTAAGACCAATGCATCTTTTAGGGTCTGCCATAACGTGATAATTCATATTAAGTTCAGCATCAAATAAATTTGTAATAGACTTCTGTATATAAACTGTTGTTGTTTACGATAGTACTGGATAGCTTAAAGCTCAGCAAATAAAGGTAAGTTATTATTTATCCAATATATAGTAGATACCTTATAAGTAAGCAAGTAAGTGGTTGCAGGAAATATATTTATCAGACGTAATGTGACTTGAGGCTCAAAGAATTTAAGCTTTATAGCTTTGGTACTTCTCAAGTTGTTACGGTTCAGAAGAAGATACCAAATGACGACAGTCACCCCTATTTATAAACTTTTGGGACGCCACAAAAAGTGCTCCAGCCAATGAAAATCCCGGCTTAAGACTAGGTCCAGTGATCAGTCTAAAACAATATTTAACAATATAGCAATAACAATAAAAGTTCTAACAGGCATAAGTAGCACATATATGGCTTAAATGAAAAGCCATATAAACATATCTGAAATAACATTTAAAAATACATATTAACATAAAGCCGGTCCAGAATTCATGAGCGTAGTACGTAGTATGCAGACGTATTCCATTACGCCGATAAAATACAGTACTTACATAGTAAAATATGATAATGACAGAAAATCATCCGGCTCAAATCAGGCTTACAATTATTTTTACATAAATAAGAAATCCTGAAAGTTTAAATGTAAACAAATATACAGTCATAAAAAGCCAGACTGAAATACAAATAAGTAGTTCCAAAGTTCTGTGTCCGCCATTTTTAAACATGGAAAATGACAGAAGAAACTGCCTTCTGAATCGTCCAATAATGTCTGTAAATATTCACTTTGTGATATATAATAGTAACTGTAAATGTTCTAAATTATTAGATATTCATCAGGAAATAAATTAGGGTCATCTGACCATTTTGTAGCGAGAGTTATCTATCCTAATGTGATACTCTTCCCAAAAGAGAACTGTCAACAATGCTGATATTCAAGTTTTATGTTGTGTTTCGTGGAATATAGTCCATCTGTTTAAAAGGTAGCACTATTTGATAATTGTTAATACATTTATAAGTAAGAACACTTCTTGATTTATAGAATTATGCACATGTTGAATATCTTATGAATGTATAAGGTAAATTGTCATGTCATTTGAAATGTCCATTATTTGTAACGGAAGTATTCCATTACAATACCAAGCTTAAGCTTTGACCTCTAAGTGTGACCTTGACCTTGGAGGTAGGGGTGCAGGTGTTGTGCATGACATATCGTCTTATTATTGTAACTATTTGTGCCAAGTATTTTCAAAATCCCTTGAACTATGAAGAAGTTATAGATCGGACACAAAATATACCCTATAACAGACTATGTTAATCTTTGACCTCTAAGTGTGACCTTGGAGGTAGGGACCCATGTTTTGCGCCTGACATATCGTCTTATTATTGTGATTATTTGTGCAAAGTATTTTTAAAATCCCTTGATCTATGAAAAAGTTATGGACTGGACACAAAATATACCCTATAACAGACTATGTAAATCTTTGACCTCTAAGTGTGACCTTGACCTTGGAGGTAGGGACACAGGTGTTACGCATGACATATCATCTTATCATTGTGACTATTTGTGCCAAGTATTTTCAAAATCCCTTGATCTATGAAGAAGTTATGGACGGGACACAAAATATACCATATAACAGACTCTGTTAACCTTTGACCTCTAAGTGTGACCTTGACCTTGGAGGTAGGGGTGCAGGTGTTGTACTTGACATATCGTCTTATTATTGTGACTATTTGTGCCAAGTTATTTCAAAATCCCTTGAACTATGAAGAAGTTCTAGATCGGACACAAAATATACCCTATAACAGACTATGTTAATTTTTTACCTCTAAGTGTGACCTTGACCTTGGAGGTAGGGATGCAGGTGTTGCGCATGACACATTGTCTTATTATAGTGACTATTTGTGCCAAGTATTTTCAAAATCATTTTATCTATGAAAAAGTTATGGACCGGACACAAATATACCCTTTAACAGACTATGTTAATCTTTGACCTCCAAGTGTGACCTTAACCTTGGAGGTATGTGACCAGTTTTTGCGCATGACACATCGTCTGATCATTGTGAACAATTGTGGCAAGTAATTACAAAATCCCTTTATAGAATCGAATGTTATGGACCGGACACGACATAAACCCTCAAATAGACAATGTTGACCTTGAATGAGCAAGTGCGACCTTGACCCTGGAGGTAGGGGTCTGGTTGTTGCGCATGACACATCGTCTTATTATAACAAACATTTGTGCCAAGTTATTTCAAATTCCTTTGATAAATGACAAAGTTATGGACCGGACACGAAAGTGTGACGGACGGACGGACGTTCCAACATTTTGGGTTTAGGGGCTATTTTCTTTGTTATTTTCTTTGTTTTCTTAAGGGCTACTAGCCCATAAACCCTTTGATCACGGAATGAACCTATTGTTCTCTTTTGTTCTCTTTACTGTTATATAGCCCCTAAACCAAAAATGCTTGCTCGGACAGACGGACGGAAGTTCTCACAGGACAGTAATTATGTGGCTACTCTATTGTTCTCTCTATTGTTCTTTTTAGCCACACAAAAGAAAATATCCACATAAAAGCATCACGGAATGAATGACATCAAAGAGAAAGAACAGTCTAGCCACATAATTACTCTCCTGTGAGTGCGGACGGACAGACGGACGGAGCCTATTTCTATATCCCCCTTTTTTCTTCGAAAAGGCGGCGGACAATAACACAATATATCAAATCTTCGACCAATCGGGAACTATTGTTTCGAAAATTAATGCGTCTGTCATTTGACAATCTTCATCTCCCGTTAATGTACATATGAAGGGCAGTAACCGCTTCGAGGAGTTTGGACTACTTTCGGCATTTGCAAATAAGAACATCAGGGTCTGAAATTGCGCTACCATTATTTGTTTGGTCTGACGACCCAAACAAATAAAAACGAAACACGTAACTGTAACTGTTTTGCAACTTATATTTAGATCACAAACATCTTAATAGTCAGTGAATATTTAGATTTTTAAATCACCAATGATTTTGCAATTGCTTTTTGGAAAAGTGACAACAAACACATAGCAAAACCTTTCAGCTAAAACGTGACATATTATAGTTTCATGGGTCCATTATACGTTTGAATGTTTGTATGTCAGACTAAGGCTAGATCAATTAATCTATATGTAAATTAACGTGTTTAATTAGATTAAAAACCCTTTCGCGTGATGTGTCGTAAACGAAATTATATGTTTATATTTTTGAATTAGGATAACAATAGGTTTTACGCTACAAGGACAAACAAACTAAGGGAGATTAATGAGTTGTTTTCATTATAAATTTTATTTTACCTCAAATGTCACGTGATCATCTTGGAAAAGCCATCACTCAGCCAAACTAGTAGTGGTGTAAACAAACATACTATTTAAATAACACGTATAAGTATACACTTTATATCCGTATCCGCTTGATACATTTAGAAAGAAACACACTAAATAAATGAGCCGCGTCAAGACAAAACCAACATAATGGGTTTGCGACCAGCATGGATACATTTAGAAAGAAACACGCTAAATAAATGAGCCGCTTCACGACAAAACCAACATAATGGGTTGTTATAGGGTTTGTGAGCGAACAGCATGGATCCTGATCAGACTGCGCGGATGCGCAGGCTGGTCTGCATCCATGCTGGTCGCAAACGCATTATGTTGGTTTTGTCGAGACGCGGCTCAAATGACTTAATTCATGTTTGACTTCATATCTGGAATGAACATTCTTTTGAATTTGGATTTCTGTTACAACGTTAAATAAGAAGCAAAGATTTCGAGATTGTTTGGATCGCTTGAGAAGATAGAAACACACCTGAAGTAGTAAGCATGTTTGTTTCAATTTGGGTGACATTGTTTCAACACAGGCCTACCTCTTTCGAGGATTAACGGTAAATCGCTCGGTCGTTAATTACCAGCTTGTGGTTGAAACTAAATATTATAAATTTCAGCAAAGGAAAATTTTTTTCATATTTATATATATATACAAATATATATATTTGTAAACTATAACATTTTTGTAAGCTATGTGTTTGAAATTTGAAGAATGCAATACTATGTGAATTATGCACTAGCCCGGAAGTAGCGTCAGTGCAATTTACCGAATACCACTGTAAGACGAAGGCACGCAGTTACAAGTAAAAGTTTTAAAAATTAAAACAATCATCAAAATGATCACTACTACATATATTGACCCAGTGTCATTTGATTTTCTCTGTGTGTGCGTGCGTTCGTGCGCGTGCATGCGCGTGAGTGTGTGTTGTTTATACACTTTATCCGAACAGCTTGATGGCGACACTTACCTTCGTAAATATTCATAGTATATCGCAACAGGACATTGCTTATTCAAAATTTATATTGCACTTAAATCTACTACTATTCTTAAAATAGATACATTGATAAATGAACAAATAAATAAAAAAAAAATAAATAGATATATAAATAAATAAAAGATAAATAAATAATACACTGAACAATTAAAAAAAATAATGGCAGCTATTTACGTAGACATGGCGCCCTGGGTCAAAAATATCAAAAACGTGAAAAAGTCTCAGCTATATAAAACGTTATGGAAACTGATGATGAGGGAATGACGGAACGGTGTAACACTATATGCCTCGGCCATCTTATGGCGGGGTATAAAAACAACCTACAGAATATCAGAATGGGTTTTTGTTTAAAAACTAAGCGATTAAATTTAGAGGACTTATATTTGAATGTCATTTAAAATCATAATAGTAAAACGCCATACCTGTGACGCTTCATATTTGCTCTGCTGAAAACTTAAACAACGTCCCTTATTTAAATTATATTTTCACCGTATCACCTTTCAAAAATTGTTCAAATATTAACATTACTATTTTATCCGTAATAAGGTATTTTATCTGGCAATAAGCAGAAATTTTAGCTTTAAGAACTTGTTTTTTTATTAAAATTAAAATTTGAATGTTGTCGAAGTCATTTCCTTTAAATACTCTTTCTAAAAAAAAATAGGGGTCAATATCGAGTATTATTTAAATATGATTTTTGTTTTTTATTTAAACGCAAATAAATTTGACGTTCAGCCCAGCGTGCTCATGTTAGCTTTAATAATGTATTGCAACAGTGGATTATTGTTAAGTCATTTCATTTCTTAATCTGATGTGACTTAACACGTAAAATTTACAACAGCCTGAGAAATTAGCTTGTAAAAATACTGTATCTTGTTTCGGTATACGTGAACGCAGTAGGGCTATATCATTTTCTTATCCAACTTTAACAAGACCTACAATGACTGATTAATAAATAAGTAATAAAATCAACTAGACAGACTCCGGTTTATCTTGACTATAAAGAGGCTGTAAAAGACGCCCCTTTTTATTGTTCGGAATTAGATTTTAAGAAAGTGGAAGAAAGAGTGGATCGGAAGAGGTAAGAAAATAAAAGAAGCTTTCTTTCTCATCATAGGTAGCCTGAAAATATTAAATATGAATTTTTAAGAAATAACTTATTATAATTTTGTTAAAATAGATTCGTTCTTGTAGGAATTGTTTTACAATACAAAAATATAATTCATTTTGTAACAGATTTAATTATAATGATTTGTAGCTTATAAAATAAAATGTGTAAAAAAGTTCAAGTTTCTTCCCTAATGTATAGTTTTTGCTATTATAACCACAAGCATGTTATTTATATATAAATATATTTTAACATATCAAATAATAAGGGTGGGTAAGGACGTAATTCAAAGCATACATATATGTAATAATCTCAAATAATTATTAGTTCGCAAATAAATGAGAGTCCTGACTTTGCATATAAATGAATTAATATGACAACAATTATAACAATAAACATTAAGAGAGTAAAAAATGACAACAATTGCGAAACTGTTATCGTTGCTTTCTGTGCGAACTGTTTGTTGCTCCTTTAAGTCTATTTTCTCTGTTCTTTTTTTTTCTTGGAGGATGAGGATGGGGGTTGGAGTTGAGGGAGGGTATTGTATTGTAGTTGTTGTCGCTTATATTTACTTTTATCTTACATTTTTTTAAATTGGGGGGTGGGGGTGTAACTTTTTTGTTTGTTTGTTTGATTTTTTTTCTTCTAGCAGCATCTTTTATGCCTACCTTTCTTTTCTCTTTCTGTTGTGTTATTTTAGAAATGGTATAACATACGCTGTACACTTGTTGTCTTCACATTGAAGTGTTTTTCAAATACAAGTGTACATTTCTATATATATTTTTCTGTTGATATGTTTATATGAAACAGTATGTCACAGGGTGAGAAAAATGTGCAGCCTGACCGGGACTCGAACCCGGGACCCTCGGAATACCGTACCGCGGCTCTACCGACTGAGCTATCCGGCCGCTTACACATTACCACCCCTAAATAGTGAACAGTTCTGAACTGTGACATACTCCCCTGCTATATTGAAATTCGTCCTCGAATTTCACAGAGAAACAGAGCAATTTAAATTACATCTGAGCTATATATAGTCACGGCCCCACGTTGGGCGCCAAATGTCACAGGGTGGGGGAAAATGTGCAGCCTGACCGGGACTCGAACCCGGGACCCGCGGGATACCGTACCGCGGCTCTTCCGACTGAGCTATCTGGCCGCTTCTAAATAGTGAACAGTTCTGAACCGTGACAAGTATATTAAACCGTTACAATTTTATTTTTTTGTTATTGCTGCTCTGTTTGTTATTGTTGTAGTTTTATGTTTCGTTCTTTTTTTATTATTATTATTATTATTATTGTATTATTTTTCTTAACTTCAAACACTCCTAACTACCCGCAACCCGAGAAAAGAGTACTTTCAAAAAGTATATTTATGTTTAATTAGGTATTATTGTTACCATTTATTATATCTTTTAAAACGTATGACTATTAACTATGAACACTAGTTTCTTGTTACAATGTATTGTAATAAAATACAAATTGGATTTTTTGTGACACTTTAATTTATAATAGTATTTCTTTTTATGATTAAGTTTGTTCTTAAATTCCTCAATAAAATTAATCTTTAAATGCACGGGTCACTGAAGGAAACGTAGAAGATGTTGCCTACTTTTGATGACTTTTTAAACCTCATTTCTCAAGTAATATGTACTTTTTAGGTTAACATGTTTTGTTAAACCTGGTGATTTATCATAGGGACAACGTTTTTGAATCCGCTAGTTTTTGTGGTTTCGTTTGCTTGTTTGTTAGTTTTCTGTCGATCGGTAATATATCTCTTTACTATAAACTTGTAAATAAAATATTGAGAAATATTGATGAAATGAAATGTGTATTTTTATTTTCCGTATTTTCACAATAAAATTTATTTTTCACTGCAGTGACGCATTTTTTCACATGTGTCTTGTCGGACTTTTTTCTTCTAAATTCAGCCAATACACATAATTGAAAGCGAATTATTCCTATTCATAAGGTTTAAAAAAGAGAAAAAGTATATGTTAAACAGAAATTTCAATTTTTTTCTATTAATAAAGGATTTATATTTATCTTGTGGTATGAAAATTATCATATTTCACTCGTGAAATATTTGTTTTGTTCTTGTTTTTTCCCAAATTAATAAAGATAATAACAAAATAAAATGAAGACAGTAGCTTGGGTTTCTTACACTGGACTATGAAAAACTTGTATGTATGATATGACCACCAATGACAATTTCGGTTAATTACTTATAGATTTAACTTATCTTAAGGTATAATAAGTATGATGTTATATCATATTCGGAGAAGATATTGCTTATGGTATGCAAATTTTTTATTTCCTTTTAACCTTTTTAACTTAATGCATATTGTGTGTGTATAATTAAAGTAGATATTGTACAAGTGTTCGGATCCGTTTATTGCCTTATAATAAATCATTGTGCTGAAAAATTGGACCAGTAGTCGGATAGTTTATGGCTCACCATTGTTTATAAGCACCAATTTAGTTTTCAACGACACTGTAAAAAGAAATAAATATATCAAATGTCGACTTCTATGGTTCTCATATTTATGAGAAGCAATATTCAACAACTCGAGACGTGTCATGTTATGTTCATATTAACATATTTACAATTTTTAGCTCGACTATTCGATAAGAATAAGTAGAGCTATTGCAGTCACCCGAGCGTCGGCGTCGGCGTCGGCGTCGGCGTCGGCGTCGGCGTCGGCGTAACCACTTATGTTAAAGTTTTTGTAATAGTTCAAATATTTTCAAAGTCCATTGACATATGGCTTTGAAACTTTGCACACTTGTTCACCATCATGACCCCAACCTGTAGACAGGAGGAGGTAACTCTATCAAGCATTTTGACAGAATTATGCCCCTTTTTCGACTTAGAATTTACGTTAAAGTTTTTGTAATAGTTCAAAATATTTTCAAAGTCCATTGACATATGGCTTTGAAACTTTGCACACTTGTTCACCATCATGACCCAACCTGTAGACAGGAGGAGGTAACTCTATCAAGTATTTTGACAGAATTATGCCCCTTTTTCGACTTAGAATTTACGTTAAAGTTTTGTAATAGTTCAAATATTTTCAAAGTCCATTGACATATGGCTTTGAAACTTTGCACACTTGTTCACCATCATGACCCTAACCTGTAGACAGGAGGAGGTAACTCTATCAAGCATTTTGACAGAATTATGCCCCTTTTTTTTCGACTTAGAATTTACGTTAAAGTTTTTGTAATAGTTCAAATATTTTCAAAGTCCATAGACATATGGCTTTGAAACTTTGCACACTTGTTTAACATCATAGACCCCAACCTGTAGACAGCAGGAGGTAACTCTATTAAGCATTTTGACAGAATTATGCCCCTTTTTCGACTTAGAATTTACGTTAAAGTTTTTGTAATAGTTCAAATATTTTCAAAGTCCATTGACATATGGCTTTGAAACTTTTGCACGCTTGTTCAACATCATGGACCCCAACTGTAGACAGGAGGAGGTAACTCTATCAAGCATTTTGACAGAATTATGCCCCTTTTTCGACTTAGAATTTACGTTAAAGTTTTTGTAATAGTTCAAATATTTTCAAAGTCCATTGACATATGGCTTTGAAACTTTGCACACTTGTTCACCATCATGACCCCAACCTGTAAACAGGAGGAGGTAACTGTATCAGGCATTTTTTTTACTATCAAGCACTAGGAATAGTCGAGCATGCTGTCCTACCGACAGCTCTTGTTAAAACTTTAAATCAATTTGGGTAAAATTTATTATGTTGATTTTGTTATCCAAAATATACAATATTTACTTTTTTATAGTATATGCTACTTCAGGGACAGGGTTATATTTACTCTATAAGATATATGATACTGTTGTTAAAAAAATAATAAATAAATACATAAAAAGTTCCTTTCAATTCGAAATTAAAGAGTTTTAATTTACAGTTTTAACCGGCTACATGATCTGTCCATGCGACCAGTGTAGAACAAGATCAGCGAGCACATCAGTGTCTGCTGATATGGTCTGTTCTTTTCCCTACTCATTCAGTACATAGTATTCTTGCATATCAAGTTTCCGTTAGTTTTATCCATGCCGGAAATTTCATGCGGTATGGGGTGCCAGATGATTTGCGTGCTGTACAATGATCTCATTTTAGCCCCGTATTTTATTAAGAGCGTACTTTAGAATAGGATGACGTCAAAACGCCGCTATAAATAAAGTTGTAAATTCATACGCTACTGCATAATCACGTTATTAATTAAATGTGAATAATTTCAATGAACAAATATCTTATTGACCATTTTAAATATGATAAAATATTGCAGAATAAGCAAGAAAATATATTTGACACGTTTGCGGTTCAGATCGGAATATCCGTCCCTCGGCAAGCCTCGTTACCGCCAATGGGCGGGGTCACATCGGGATCGATATTCCGATGTTAAGTATTTAGCGAGCTCGTTGTCGTCACGACCCTCAAATTAAATGCCGTGTCTGACAAAAAGTTAAGGTGTGACTAATCCATTTTTTAAAAAGATAGATTACCTGTTGTTTGAGATAAAGTCAAAATGAAATTATAGTTAATAGTAACACACATTGAAAGAACTTGGGCCCAACCCTTTTGCTATTTGTTATTTCGGAATCAATTTGTTTTCTCTGTATATTTACATGTATATATTAGTGATAAAATATGATTAAACGAAAAACCCAGTGCTAGTTTCAGTTTTAACGCCAAGAAATTGAGGTACTATTTTGAAATACGACAAATAGTTTAATATTGTCAATTATAATATTATAGTGGTTTTTTGTTGTAATACTTAGGATATTGAAGTCTGACTGCGCTGTGCGCTATTTATATGCAATTTGTAAATAGTAAATATACATGTATATATTTAGTCTATATACATGTAACCCCATCCCCTCTCCCTGGTTGTGTGTATAAAGTTGTAACTGGAAACAAGTTGTCTCAATTTTCAACATACCGTGACAAG